GGGATTTTGATCATTCCTGGGTATACTGAGTTTTGTGGGAATATGGAGGCCAAACCTTTATTCCAGTTTGTAAGAAGAACCAGCCAATGATCTATTTACCCAGAGCACGAATAAATCTTAGCAGGCTGAGCCTCTGTACAACCAGAATGGTCTGTTCATTTCTGCTGCTCATGAAGTTCAGTCAAGTCCATCCTTGATATCGGTCTGTGTTTGTGCTTTTTGAACCCAACTTGAAACCCTAGTCTTATTGGGTTTAACTGGGAGATGTAATATTTCAGCTGCCGTTGCCAGTCCCTGTCCCTCACTGAGGTTGTAGCACCCCACCCCCCACCCCCCAGGCCCCCGCCGCCAGGCCATGCTAATATTCATAATAGGAACGCTTCTGTTACTATGGCAAATTGTTGGAATGAGGTGGAGATTTTTGTTTTTTCATTAGAGCCCTGCCAGCGATTATTGTGAACTCCGAGAGTTATCGTTCCATCCTGGTTTTTTAATGGGATTTAAAAAGGCCCAGCAAAAAAGACAGTCATGAAGGGGCTGGTGAAAAATGTTTGTTTACCAGCAAGTCGTAGGTGAACTGCCAATTTATTTCTCTAATTTGTTGGAAGTCAGAATTGGCTGGGGGCAGGGGGAAGACTCTACATTTTGAATTCATAGGCTATTTACCAGTGTCTTTTCTGCTTCTCCTTCTATCCTGGTGTACCTGGACTAATTTTGTTCTCTGATTTAAATCGCAATCTAGTTGCCCTGGCATCTCAATTTAAGGGAAGATTGGATGTTGTTTTTCAAAGGGAATTGCAAGTGTTTTACTCTTGTCTGAAAACAGATTGTGGCTTCTTTCCCAAGGATAAGCTTAGGAATTACATATAAATCTCAGGGTTTCATTCTTAGCAAAATGTTTTCAACCCTCTTGTCCACACATTAGTATAAATGAATAAAACAGAGAAAAAGCCAGAAAACACCCTGACAGACAGTGTGTGAATATTTCTGATCTGCTTCCTGAGCCTGCCATTCTACCGAACACATTTTGTTTACTCTCCGGCTTCTAATTGCTTTATTGCAGATTTTGTAGGCAGCATGACAACTTGGGACTAAATGCATAAAAAAGCTTTTGATGCGGAACAGAAGTTAACACTCATCTGTAAGGAACCAGAGAGGAGCTTCAAAAAGAACAATTTATTTTAAAACTATCTGATAAGGACAGGTATTTTTCAGATGTTTTTATTTATTGGCTATGATGTACCTTTCTTCTAGGAGCTCAAGTGCAAACTTTAAAAATATTCAGGGGTGTCTGGGTGGCTCTATTGGTTGAGCGTCTGACTCTTGATTTTGGCTCAGGTCGTGATCCCAGGGCTGTGGGATTGAGCCCCGTGTTGGGCTCTGTGCTGAGTGTGGAGCTTGCTTCAGATTCTCTCTCTCCCTCCTTCTGCCCCTCTTCCCTACTCGTGTACTCTCTCTTTCTCTCTCTCTAATACATACATACATACATACATACATACATAAAATATTTAAAAATATTTAGTCTGGGGTCTCCGTGATCATTCCTTACTGTCTGTCACTCTTCTGATGAATATTTTGCAAAGAAATCATGTTTGGGAAGATTACCACCAGCCTTATGTAGCAACTGTCTCCAGAATTGAATGCTGTAGCTCTTTAAAACATGTACTCACTGTGTAGGACAGGGACCGAGGATGGCATCTCTAAGTGAGACCCAGGTCTGGGAGCTTGTAACTGAAAACACTGACATTTGACCTGTGCCTCCTGAGAGAAAAAGTAAGGTTCGTGGTCATTGTCATCCTTAATGATCTCTCAACCTGTTTCCCATGTCTCAGTCTTATTTCTGGTACCATGTCTGGAGCTTTTCATAATCCTGGATATAATAAATATCGATTGATCATTATTAGATTTGCATTTGGCTTCCAGGAACTAAGCAGAACAGTCCGGCCACCATGGCCAGAGGCCATCTGAGTCTTCTCAGGTCCAGGAATCCCTTACCTTTGCTGTGCTTCAGAAAACTGCTTTCAGTTCTTCTGATCTGGTCTTCTGAGGTCCAGGTGACAAGAGAGCCTTCCTGGGGCTGTATAATTCTTTTGTTCTTACTCTACATTATATTTTATTATTTTTTTTTAAATTTTTTTTTCAACGTTTTTATTTATTTTTGGGACAGAGAGAGACAGAGCATGAACGGGGGAGGGGCAGAGAGAGAGGGAGACACAGAATTGGAAACAGGCTCCAGGCTCTGAGCCATCCGCCCAGAGCCTGACGCGGGGCTCGAACTCACGGACCGCGAGATCGTGACCTGGCTGAAGTCGGACGCTCAACCGACTGCGCCACCCAGGCGCCCCTCTACATTATATTTTAATTCAAATTCAGAGTCTTGTAGTAGGAAGGGAATTTATAGATACGTAGCTCAACTCCCTCCCAGTGACAGTCACGATGGAGGGGTTCACACTGCTTGTCCATTCGTAACAACTGAGCATTTAACTCCCATGTTGTTGCAGTTTTAAATTTTGTGAGTTTTTAAATATTTTAGATGTTAGAAACTTAATCTTTAATGGGTAGAAATCTCAATCTAAGGAAACCCAGAGTTTGTTTCTAGAAGTGATGAAAATAAAATCACAGTTCACCTCACTAGTATCATGATATCCTTTTCCACATAACATGTCTTCAAGTAGGCTTACCTATATTTAATGTTTTTATATATGTATATATTTTCAAGTGTGCTTATATTTAATGGTAACTAGCTATGATTGCTAGTTCCTGAGCTAAGTGCTTTGCAATACATTATGCCATTTAATCTTCACAACATATTAATAGTCTCATTTAAAAAAAATTTTTTTTAAACTTTTATTTATTTTTGAGACAGAGAGAGACAGAGCATGAACAGGGGAGGGGCAGAGAGAGAGAGGGAGACACAGAATCAGGAGCAGGCTCCAGGCTCTGAGCCATCAGCCCAGAGCCCGACGCGGGGCTCGAACTCACGGACCGTGAGATCGTGACCTGAGCTGAAGTCGGATGCTCAACCGACTGAGCCACCCAGGCACCCCTAGTCTCATTTTAAAGATGACAAAATTGAAACAAGGAGATGTTAAGTAAGTTGCCCAAGGTCTAAGTGAATGTAAAATAATCTACCGTTGTAGCGAATAGCCAAGCCTGGATTTGGAACCAAGTCAGCTGACTCCCACATCCCTGCATTAAATTACTCTGCTATGTTGCTGGCCTATATTTACTCATTTCTAATTTCTAATTTCCTTAGATCCGAAAGGAATTTGAGGCCTCTTCAAATAAAAGTGCATGTAAAATAGCATAGTTAAAAACTATTTATCACAGAAGAAAAAGATAAATTCTGTGAGAGCCCTTCAAATTTTTGGAAATAGCAATCCCATTGCCCCTAAGTTTGCATTTTCAAAGTCAACATTGCCAATTTCTTAAGCATTCTATCTATTGGGAAGAAGGTGGGTTGCTACACTGCTAACTCTTTGGGGGAAGCGGCCTTGTCTTACCACCCCTGTGTCTCCAGTGCCTAGGGGACAGTGTTAACATTGACGGAGAGGACTGGGGAAGATGAAGCTGGTTGCATAGGTTTGATTCAGGCCACTGCTGCTGAAGCACGCTTATTCAGAGCGGATGTTGGGTCAAACTGTATGGCATTTGTGACTTGGGAACCCAAGGCAAAAATGGAGATGGAGGAGGAGGAGAAGTAGAATAAAGTAATATTTATCTTTCTTATCTATTCTCTACTACTTATCTTTCTTATCTATTCTCCACTATTTATCTTTCTTATCTATTCTCCACTATTTGTCTTTCTTACCTATTCTCCACTATATGCTGTTTTGCATTTTTTGTATATATCACTGTAAACCACCTTGAATCCCTTTTAGAATGAGGCAGGATATTAATAAATGCTTATATATTTATACAGGCACACATACATACACATAAAATATTAGATTGAGTTGACCTGTTTAATGAAATCCTTTGTTGTCTGTTGAGATAAAGGGTGGTGTCATTAATCAGGAGGAGGCTAATGATTGCCACATTCGCAGAAAAGGTGGTGAGGCATGAGCCCAGATGATGAGCGAGGGTTGGGCTTTCCGTGTGCTGTGCAAGCCACCCCTGCGGGTCTCACTGTGATTGTCCCAGGTGGTGTGACTTTTAGGCCTGTGTCACGCTGCTCATCTTCCTCTGGAACTTGAGAGTTCTCCTTAAAACTGCATGCTATGGGGCGCCTGTGTGGCTCAGTCGGTTAAGCGGCCGACTTCGGCTCAGGTCATGATCTCACGGTCTATGAGTTCGAGCTCCGCGTCGGGCTCTGTGCTGACCGCTCAGAGCCTGGAGCCTGTTTCAGATTCTGTGTCTCCCTCTCTCTGACCCTCCCCCATTCACGCTCTGTCTCTCTCTGTTTCAAAAATAAACGTTAAAAAAAGAACTGCATGCTGTACCTCAAAGTCACACAGAAAGGGTAGACATGTTCTTTATTTATTGCAAACAATATTACTTCTCTTCATGCAGCTGGAGAACGGTATTTGCTTTTAAACGATTGCATACATCACACGTATGTCATATTGACCTTCAGTCAGCTGAACCCCCCTGGTTCTCATCAGAGAGTCCCCTCCTTAGTTTTGTGCAAGTGATACTTTACACCTAAATCCAGGACTTTGCATTAATTACTCCCATTCTGCAGATGGTGGAGTAGGTTCAAGGAGGCCAGTAAGTCTTCCTTCTCTTGCCCTCCTACCTTTTCTCTCCTGCCATTGTGACCTCTTTATTTTTATTTGTTTGCTCCCAGTCCTTGGAGTTATGCCCCTCTCTATGGTTGATTCCAGGTATTCTTGACCAGATGGTACCAGAGCACCGAATGATGGGGTTGAGGGGATTTTCACAATATCTTCTCTGGGTGGGGAGTATTTGTTAAATATGATACACAACTCATATTGGGTATTTCCAATACTATCATTATGCTACGATGATTCCCTTTCTCTATCATCTTAATGTACTAGGTCTCCAACCCCAGGAGGAAGGGGGAAGAAGGAAGAAACCGTACTTAGGTTGATCAGAACCCAAAAATCCAGTCATCACTGGGTGCCCTTGACAGTCTTGCTTTGTTCTCCCCGGGAAGGTTTGGGGGTGAGTACGGTAGACCTGTTCCAGAGGGCTGCATTTTGGCTACCCACATCTAATAACCAGGGCTGCTTGGCCGTGTTCAGGATGCCAAAGTCAAGTGGTGAGGTTTGTTGTGTTACAGACAGAGGTTTGCTACTGGAGGTCATGGTGCACGTCACTTACTTTCCATCAGGACAGAGGGTTGGTTTATGGGTGGCCTTTTACAGTCTAAGTTCAGGCTGGATAAGTCTCACTTAACGTGAGAGTCTCTCAGATATCAGGACCTTTTGTTTTTATGAAGAAGGAAATTTTGGGAGATAAGGAAGGGCCTGATGAAAAATCTTCCTTTGGATAGGTCACAGCACAAAAAGGAAATCTTTTTTCCATCTCCTATAAGCTCAAATAGACCAGGGCTGCTCTCAGCTGGGGTGGCCCAGCGAACAGGAAAGTCTTGACCTGAATAATGAGTATAGTTCTTTTTATTTCTCACATCTGTGTCCTTCTCAGCCCTTACCAGGGGTCCCTGAGGTGCAAAGACAAGCTTTGGTTCAATTCTCCAGAACTTTTACTATTTGTAATACTTGCCAATATTCATTCATTCATCATATATTTGTTGTGTGCTTTCCAGAAGCAGGACAAACTGTAAGAAAACGATAGCAGTGGGTCTCTGCCCTCAAAGAACCTCTGTCTAGACGAGGAGACGTATTTTAATTAAGTAATCGCAGTAACAATACATAATTACAAAAATGGTAAATGATCTTAAAGAGAATGGACAGAAGACTTCAATTAGTCTGGTGGTTACGTGAGAATTCCAGTTATCCTGTCCATGAATGTGGACATCCAGATGTGGAGTGGGTTAGAATGGGAGTGAAGGACCAGTGTGGGTGGATAGTAGGGAACAAGATGTTAAATAATGTGATAATAACTATGTATAAAGGTAATGAGTTGGTGTTTTTCATTTAATGCTCTTGTAGAGCTTGAAGGTTTTTATCAAGTAGATATGCCACTTTTTTATAATAAAAAAGTTTAAAAAATAAAAACTAGGGGGTCCCTGGCTGGCTCAGGCAGTTGATTAAGCGTCTGACTTCAGCTCAGGTCATGATCTCATGGTTTATGAGTTCGAGCTCTGCATTGGGCTCTGTGCTGACAGCTTGGAGCCTGGAGCCTGCTTCAGATTCTGTGTCTCCCTCTCTGTCTCTGCCCCTTCCCTGCTGGCTCTCTCTCTCTCTCTCTCTCAAAAATAAATAAGACATTAAAAAATTTTTTTTAAAGAAATAAAAAAATAAAAACTAAAGAAGATGGGTTGTTGGCTTATACACAACATTTATTTCTCGCAGTTGTGGAGGTTGGGAAGTCTAAGATGAAGGTGCCAGCAGATTTGGTGTCTGGTGAGGGATGGCTTCCTGGTTTATAGACAACTGTCTTCTCACTGTGTAAATGGTGGAAGGGGTGAGTAAGTGCTCTGGGATCTCTTTAATAAGGACAATAATTCCATTTCATGAGGACTTCACCCTCACAACCTAAGCACCTCTAGGACTCTCCACCTCCCAATACCATCATGTTGGGGATTAGGTTTCAGCATGTGAATTTTGGGGGGATATGAACATTCAGTCTATAGCAATATGTGACGTGTAAACCTACTTATTCTTGGCTCTGTCCAAGAAGGGATGCCATTCTAGATAGAGTAGAATCCTCCTTTTCCTTAGGACAGCTCAGTATCAACCCATATACTATATTTCAATGATGCTTAATTTCTCTCTTAGTCTTGATATAAAAAAATCAACATGAATGTAAATTCTATTTTCCTCCTCTCTTCCCATGCTTCTCATCATTGGATCATCCTGGAAAGATGCTTGATGCATAGCCCACACTTTGGAGATCGCTGGATGAGAGGACAGGAAGGTTGGGGATACTAAAGGCAAACAAAGTCAGGCATATTTTTAAAATGTAGGGGTTGGGGGGTCTGGGTGGCTCAGTCAGTTAAGTGCCCGACTTTGGCTCAGGTCATGATCTCATGGCTCATGGGTTCAAGCTCCATGTTGAGCTCTGTGCTGACAGCTCAGAGCCTAGAGCCTGCTACAGATTCTGTGTATCTCTCTCTCTCTTTGCTCCTCCCCTGCTTGTGCTCTGTCTCTCAAAAATGAAAAAACGTTAAAAAAATAAAATAAAATAAAATAAAATAAAATAAAATAAATAAAAATGTAGGGGTAGAAGTAACCGATTCTCTGACAGTGGAGCAGGTGAAGAGTGTTTCTTTCGTTTGTTCATTCAACAAACAATAAATTGAGCAATTCCTGCCAAGTGCTGTATTATACACTGGGGAGAAAAAGATAATTCACTTAATCCCTGCCCCTCCCAGCTTAATGAGGAAGACTAAAATGCAAATGGGAAATTACAGAATGGTATGTGGAACGAGGCAGTACAAAGTGTTTGGAGTCTCTTACTTTCTGCATGTTTTTGTCACTTTCTTAGTTGGCTCTCCTCTTACCACCACTCTTTTAAAAAAAATTAAAAAAAATTTTTTTGATGTTTATTTATTTTTGAGAGAGAGAGAGAGAGACAGACAGAGGGCGAGCAGAGGAGGGGCCGAGACAGAGAGAGAGGGAGACACAGAATCCAAAACAGGCTCCAGGCTCTGAGCTGTTAGCACAGAGCCCGACAAGGGGCTCGAACCCATGAACTGCAAGATCATGACCCGAGCGGAAGTCAGAGGCTTAACCGACTGAGCCACCCAGGTGCCCTGACCACCACTCTTAATTGCAGTGCCTCTTGCATGCACCCCTCTCCCCATACAGAAAGTGTTACAGTAGGGATTACTCTACTATATCTCTTTTTATGCCACTTACCAGCTTGTAACATTCTCTGTAATTATTTATTTTTATTGCCTGTCTTCCTCCCATGAGAATATCATCTTCCCAAGAGCAGGGATATTTGTCTGTTGGGTTCACTAATCTGTCCCAACTCCAGGAATAGTTTGTTGAATGAATGAATGAAGGGAGTGATCATTAATCTCTGATTATTGAAGGTCGTAGACGGAGGGAAATGACATAATAAAGAAGGTAATGTGTTAGCTGGGTCCTTTTAAGGGGAAAAGGCATGTTGTACAGAAGGAACAGCGTATACAAAATGATGGAAGTGAGAAGTAGCCTAGTGTTGGGAAAAGATGCATGGTTCAGCTTTAGGGTATATGGTGGAGAACACTAGAAGATGAAATTGGAAAATTGAGGAAGATTATGAAGCCCTTCATATATGTTGTTTACCATCGGGGGATTTCAGACAACAAAAGTACCTGAAGACCTGTAAAAAGAGAAGTTGATAAACCAATTTGTATAACATGTAGAAAATCTTACTTCCTCTATTTTCAAGCCAAGTGTGCTTGTCCAGAGCACTGTTGTTGAGGAAAAGATGCTAAAGATGTCCCTGGGCTTTGGATGAGGCCTGGGAGAAGTTTCCTAATTAGGTTAGGAAACATGTTGTTTTCGTCTATGTGACCTGGCCTAGTGCCCACTACATACTAGTTGTTCAGTAAATGTATAGAAATAAATGAAAGAATGCACCTGCTATGCAGTGTCCAGATGACCTCCAAAGTGAAAAGGATAACACTAAGGGGTGTCCAGTTTTATCCCAGTTGTTGCTGATATGAATGCGCTGCTGGACATGTTTGCGGATAGTCTCCAACTCCTTTGTGGTGTTACAGTTTTGTGATAAAGAGCATGAACTTCAGAGTTAGAACAACTTGATTTTGAATCCTGGCTCCATCATTTACTAGCTTCATGCCTTAAATAAGTTCCTTAACCTCTCTGAGTTTCACTTTCCTAATGTAAGGATGTCAGTATCTATTACCTAGGATTACTTGAGGATTTAATGAGATGGTCTATGGAAGAGTTTCAGGCACTTATGGGAACTTAGTAAGCATTCAACAATGGGTGAATATTCATTCCTTCTATTAAGGAGGAATGAGGTCAACTTTGATAAGCATGTACGCTGTTGAGAAGCATTGACGTTTCAGGAGCACCTGGGTGGCTCAGTCGGTTAAGCATCCAACTTTGGCTCAGGTCATGATCTCACAGTTTGTGTTTTCAAGCCCCAGGTTGGGCTGTGTGCTGCCAGCTCAGAATGTGGAGCCTGCCTTGGATTCTGTCTCCCTCTCTCTCTCCCCGCCTCCCCCCCCCCCCGCCCTCTCACATTCTGTCTCTCTCTCTCAAAAATAAACAAATATTTTTTTTTTTAATTTTTTTTTTCAACATTTATTTATTTTTGGGACAGAGAGAGACAGAGCATGAACGGGGGAGGGGCAGAGAGAGAGGGAGACACAGAATCGGAAACAGGCTCCAGGCTCTGAGCCATCAGCCCAGAGCCTGACGCGGGGCTCGAACTCACGGACCGCGAGATCGTGACCTGGCTGAAGTCGGATGCTTAACCGACTGCGCCACCAAGGCGCCCCAAAAATAAACAAATATTAAAAAAATTTAGAGAAGCATTGATGTTTCACTTTATTTAGTCAAAAGCATAGTAAAATGAACATGACCCATTCCATTACTTAATAAGTTGGTAAATGTTTTCTTTGTGCCAAGTATATTAATGGAAATATAAACTCAGCAGAATTACAGAAAAGATGTGTTTTTTTTAGTGACCCGTAATGACTACATGCACTAGGTACTGTGTTCCTCTTCCATGCTGACACTTTGGGGTGCGATATAATAAAGAGAGATGGTGAGGTTGGGATGATAATAACAAAGTCTGGTGTATAAGTGTGATGCTTTAAACTGACCAGTTAGTGCCGTACAGGGAAAGGGTCTGCCTTTGCATTCTAGAGAACCCTGGAATGTTGAAAAGGACACAGAATGGAAAGCAGGAAGGATGGCTCCTTGCTCCTGAAAAGGTCCTTAAGATTCATGTCCTATTAGTGGTTCATTAATCTCAGCTAAAATTTGAATCTTGATGGTGTGTCAGACCCCGTGCTAACTGCTTACTGCTGATCATCTCACTGAATATTCATAACAGCAATATAGGTATTATTTGTC